TCTCGCCTTCATTATCGCCTTCGTTCTCGCCTTCGATCTCGTTCTCGCTTTCGCCCTCGTTCCCGCATTCGTTCTCGCCTTCGTTCCCGCCTTCGTTCTCGCCTTCGTTCCCGGTTTCGTTGTCGCCTTTGTTTTCGCCTTCGTTTCCGCCTTCGTTCCCGCCTTCGTTTTTTGTTTTCATTTTGTATAAACCCTCGTTCCTGCCTTCGTTCTCGCCTTCGTTGTCGTCTTCGTTCCCGCCTTCGTTCCCGCTTTCGTTCTCCCATTCTTTCTCGCTTTCGTTTCCGCCTTCGTTCTCGCTTTCGTTCTCGCCTTCGTTCCCGCCTGCGTTTTCGCCTTCCTTCTCGCTTTCGTTGTCGCCCTCGTTCTCGCCATCGTTCCTGCTTTCTTTGTCGCCTTCGTTTTCGCCCTTGTTCCCGCATTTCTTGCCGCCGTCGTTCTCGCCTTCGTTCTCGCCTTCGTTTAGACCCTTGCGCTCTCGGCCGCAGTGGCAGAGGTTGAGTATTTGCAAATGCTTTACCGTGATTTGATTTTCAGAGATGTGACAATCCGAGACGAGCACCGGTGCTCTGGTCCATTCACGACAGTTTTGCGTCGTGACTGTCGCCTGGGGGCCCGAGAGGGGCATATCCATGTTGTGGATGCCAAGTCGATTTATGATACGATGTTGAAAGAGGGGAACGCTTCGGCGAAGGACCGTCGCACAGCTATTGATCTGACAATCGTATCAGAAACTCTTGAGCAGGCCTCCGGCAAGGTACGTTGAATTCCCCATAATCGTATGCCCGTAGACGCACTCACTAAATAATATACAACTAAGTGTAACGCCGCGTTTTTCGATCTCATGACCAGCGGACGTCTGATCCTGGTGGATGCGGGGAGCGAGGTGGAGAAGAGGAAGGAGGGCCCAGGACTCAAGAACCGCTCCCAAGCTGCCTCCTGGAAGATCCTGGATCGTGAGGTCGCCAACGTCGCCTGGGAGAAAGAGAGCTCGAAAGGCACCGGACCTGGATCCTCACCCGGTGGCGGTGGTGGTGGTTTGGTGTCTCTCCTCGTCTCTCCCTCTTTTCCTGTTTTCACCTCCCCTTGCTTGCTCCGACCGGCTGGCACAGAGACGGGGGAGCAGCTGCATCAATAGGCGAAACCCATTGTAGATCCCCGCTGGCAGGCAGGGTTTCCAAGAATTTAGTCAAGCAGAGGCCTCGACAAAAGTCCTGCCATCTCTCTTTGCTAGGGGTGCTGAACCTAGGAGAAAGTTTAGGGCATGTAGCAGCATGCCAATTTTTTCGATTGATAGGTTCAGCTGCGAGAGAGGTGTTCGTGTCGTGTTGTGGCTCAAGCCAGCAAAACCATTTTGGTGAGGAGGCTACCGCCACACAGTGGCTGCGTTCGCATACCGCCACCCTCTTCATGTCGGCACGCCCCTCACACGTTCCGTGACCACGGGGGGAGCTCCACCGAACGCCCCAGTGGCTGCGTTCCCATGCCGCCCCCCCCTCCCTTGGCACACCCCGCACACGTTTCGTGGACCCACAGGGAGCTCCACCGAAGGCCTCAGTGGCTGCGTTCGCATGCCGCGCCTGCATATTTTTTCCCGCTTCTCCCGGTGCCTGTCAAACGCAGCGGATTACATCAGCATGTAGCCAGTTTCTTCTGACCTCCGCGCCCGCTGCGGGCGGCCCCAGCGACAACGCCTGCATGGCGACCCCGCCCCAGCTCGGCGCTCCCTTCGCGTGTTTCGCGGCCCCGTAGGGAGCTCCACCGAAGGCGTTTTTCATAACGGCGGTACTCCCAACCGCATGTGGTCGGGTCCTTTGCCAGGATCGTTTTCTGGGGCTGGACGCCAGCAGCCTGGTCTACAACGCGACCATGGCGGTACTCCTAAAACCTGCTGCTTTGGGTGCCACCTCCACAAGCGAACTGGACATCGACGCGGCCCAGATGCCCTCCCAGGTCGAACGGCGCATTCTCGCCAAAGGGTGGAGGAACGCGGACCAGTGCGTTCTGGCGATAAGGACCAAACGCTCCCGCCCCGCCGCCTGGTCGCGCACCGCGTGCGGGTGCCAGCGCCGCCGCGACGCATCCTTCCCGGATTACTTCAGGGCCATTTGGGGGATGCCCGGTTTTTCATCAGGCGATGTTGAGGTTGCTGCGTCAATCTTGGTCGCGACGGCCCACTTCCACCTGGTGGCAGTCGACCAGGAATGCCCCGCCACATGGGACCTCGGTGTGGAGGCCAAGTTTCCTTTACGAGCCACCCTGACGATGCTCCCAGTACTCGCCCCCTCAGCAGACCTCTCAGCGCTCGCCGCTGAGAGCTGCGCGGTGTGCACCCTGTCCCGCGATGTGATTGGAACCGACCTGGGGCCTGGCCCAGCGCGGACGGAAGACCGCCCCGTGGCGCACATCGGAGAAAGTAGGTCTTTCACCGCCAGGGACATCGTGGCGCATCCGCCTGCGGGCCCCCCACCCGGCGTTGCTCTGGCCCCGGCGCGGATCGACGACAGAGACGCCTGGTTCAGGCTTGAGCAAAACCTCGCAGAGTTCTGCTGCAACGGGTGTCTCATGGGGCCCGCGCGGGCACAAGGGTGGGGCCTGCGCCAGCGCCAGAGTCTGGAGAGCGGTGGCGCAGACCTGTCGAACTGAGCTTGTAGTTGGTGTCGACACCACCTGGCCCTGCTCCAGATGCTGGCGGCTCGAGGCGACCTGCTCCAGGGCGCCCATCCCAGTGGGACACGACATTGCCGCGTCGCTACAAGGATACCGCTGACGACCCGAGCGCCCTACTGCCCAAGGGCATCCCGGAAGGGAAGCTGCAGAGACCTAGAGGCGACACCCCTCTGGACGAAGTGGTGCTTCCCCAGGCTGGACCCAGCGACCCAGCCACAGTCGGCACCACGCGGCCCCCACTCGCCACGCAGGGCAGGCACCTCGGGACCATGCTTGGAAACAAAGGTTGGGTCGGGCATGCCCCCCTACACGCGGATCATTTTGGACGAGAAATATTCAAAAATAGGGAAAAATAATCAAAGAATCGTCCCCAGACTTTTTTTTTTGTTTACTATCTTTGAATATTCCTCCTGTAGAGGGACACGCCCGACTTAAAAACAAGGGCAGCATCACGTTCCAGTACAGCGGGTGCCCCGCCGCCGCTCCACAGTCTGGCTGGAAGCCAGGACCGCGCGCGCCCCTGGCGTATTCGTCTGCGGGCCCCGGCAAGCGGGGGGGGTTTCCCTCGGGGGGCTCCCTGGCAGGCTCGGTGGCCACTTGGAGCCGTTTTGGGGCGGCCTTGGTCGAAGAAGAACAAACACATGAACCTAAACTTTTGACGCGGAGCGCCAAAAGTTTAGGTTCATGTTTTTTTTTCTTATTCTATTTTTGGAAGCATGTTGGACGCTATCTTCAACCATCTTGGGCGGTCGTTTGTGACCTTGGAGGCCATCTTGGGCCAGCTGGGTCCTTTCGGGGCTACCTCGGGCCACTCTGGGCGCTCCAACCCATCGCGAGAGGTTCCTCCAGACCAGGGGAGAGGGGGTAGAGGGCAAGCTTGGTGCGTTCGTGCCTCACCTGACATCCTGTCCCCTCCCTCCCATCCCTTACCATGGCGCGGACTTGTCTTTCTCTGCCGACGCGTGCCATAGTTAGTCGACCTGCGGCTCGCACGGAAAAGCCACTCCGTGTTCTGCGCACTCGGAAAAAGGGGAGCTGCGTGCATAAGAGGAGGTGGCGGGTTAGCAGGATGATGGTTGAGAGGAAAAGGACTGGGACGAACAGCGGCCGCAGGAACTAGAGCGGAAGGATCGGGAGGTGGAGGAGGGCCAGGGGCAGGCGGAGGAGCGGAAATGCGAAGGGCGACGACGAGGAGTAAAGGCTCGTATTGAGAGGAGCGGCCCGCGCTGGGGCGAGACGAGAAGCAGCTCCAGGAACTGGAGTGGAAGGAGCGGGAGGAGTAGGAGGACCAGGGGAAGGCGGAGGAGGGGGAATGATGGGAGAGACCACAAGGAAGCAGGTCTCGGATCCAGAAAAGTGGCCCGCGCTGGGGCGAGAGTGCCATTCTGAACGACGGGAGCAACGCGCCGATCCGAACATGAGGCTCACGCCGCAGCGGGAGTACTAGTTCGAAATACCGAGAACAACTGGACTGTAAAACACCGTGCGACACACTTTAAAAATCCGGTGTGAAAGAACAGCACGCGGAGGAGTTGGCAAATCATCCGGACAACTTCAGAGGAGGAGGGAGAGTAGTATCGATATTGTTTGAAAGCAGATGAGAACTTCTTCCCGAATGGAAAGAGAAAGTTTGAACAAGTGATTCCTCAAACCCCCACGCCCAAAGGGCTGGTGGGATCATGCGTGCCAGCTGGGACAGTCCAACTGCAGAACGCGTTGGTGTTTCATCGGGCCCTTCAATTGTGCTAGCGGTTTGCCTGCCGTACTGCCCTATCGACACCAGTGTGACCCGCCGCCACAAATCATTGATTAGCTTGTGCTTGTAGTGACATTGGCACTGGCCGCCACGGGGCATGCCTCCCGATACCGTTCCCGCTTGTTTTCTTTTTTGGCTTGCGGCTACGTTCCGTGGATTGCGCGCTGGGGACATGTGCGGTCGTTCCCTAGTGGATTCTTTTTCGATTTTCGCATGACAGCTCTGCCTGGATTTGCGGTGCATGTGCGCCCACCTTTGACAGAGTCCAGTACTTGAGTCTGACTCGGGCACTTCCGAAGTTCTTACGTTCTGAGGGTACCCTGGTCATCCCGCGACTCTCCCCTTGCTGGATGCGGTTCGCCGCCGAACAAAGCGTTTCTGGAGCGCCTGGGCGACTGCGCCCACCTTTGGTACTCCCTCTTCCCGAACCCCTTCTCGCTCTCCTCCCTCTTTCCTTTTCGTTCTCCCTTGCGACTTTCCCCCTCCCGCTTCTCGTTTCTGCCGCTCTCCTCTGGACCTCCTCCTCCTCCTCCTCCTCCTCCTCCTCCTCCTCCTCCTCCTCTCTTCCCCTTAGGCGGTCAATCTGCGGAAGGCGTTGCAGGCGAGGCTCAAGAAGGGCAGGCTGCACTCGCTCACCGATCAGTCGCCACTGGAGATCCTGCCAGAGGGTTGCCAGGAACGGGCTGGGAGGAGGGGAGGGGGGAATACTCGGGAATGGATGGGGGGGAGGGGAGGAGGGACCGGATGGTTGGGAGGGGCAGGGGCAGGGTTCGGGAAAAGGCGAGGAGCTGGGCGGGGGTGGGAAGTTGGAAGGGGGCCGCCGAGGGGAGGGGAATGGGGGAGTTCAGGGAAGGGGATGGACTGGCCATGGGGATGGGCTGGATGGGCGGTGAGGGTGGCGGGGTCGATCCAGGATGGGGGGTGGCGGGGAGGGCCGTTCGGTTGATGGACAAAATCCTGCACCAGCCGCGCAACCAGGGCGACGGCGCAAACTTCCACGCGCCCCCCTGCCCCCGATTCAATGTTGAGTGGCTGCGCCCGCGGGGTGCAGGATTTAGGCCAGTCGGCGGATCGACGAATCGCGCCGCAGCCTGCCTATATTGAATTGTGGGCGCGGGGGGCGAAAACAAAAATCTAAAACAAAAGGATGCAGGATTTTGTCCATCAACCGTTCCTCTCCGACCCACCCCATCCATCCTCGGGCATGCGTGTGCGCAATGTTGGCCCGTGCCAGCTGGGCAGTGCCGGCCGCTGGGCTGGCGGAGGCATTGTCCGGCGCACCAGCGCCAGTGCGCTGCGCTACACTGGCCCGGCGCCCTCGGATCACGCAGAGGACGCGTGGGCTTGACGTGCACAGTTTCCATGCCGCGGTGTCCACGCGCGCCGGCGGCAAGACGGCAGTGCACTGATGCAGCGAGGAGACGGAGGTGCTTCTGCGCGGCCAACTCGTGCAACACCCACGAGGCGTGGCGCATCGAAGCTTGTGGCTGTGTGAGGGCATGTGCGCTTGTGCGCATTCGTGCCGCGTTGTCTCTTCTTAGCCACGGCCCCGAAGCGGCAGGACAGCCTCCAGCTCGTGGTGGCTTGGGCACGGGGGATGCGTTCGGCTCTGCAGGCGCCCCCTGCGCCAGGTGATGCTCGGAGCTGCTTCCACGCCAGGCTCAGGCAGGGTGCGGCCAGGCGGCGGAACTGTGCGCGAAGGCGTGGGCGTCGCTACCTGGCGCGCCCTCGCGCTCGCCGACCTGCAGCGCGCCCCTGGCTCCGCGGCTGCGACCTCAGGCGCTGTTGATGAATCGTCGGCTCGCCAGGCCACGCAACGCAGATGCTCCATTGCACCCCAGCCCCCCCCTTCCCCGTCTTCGCCCCCGTCCGCTTTGGCTAGCAGCGGGCACCCTGCTGGCGTCGTCGTCGCCGCCGCTGCCGCAAGCACTGTAGACCAGCTCGGTAACCTAGATCAACGTGGCAGACCAGACCAGCACGGCACAATTGGTCTGCCATGTTGGTCTGCCGCGCTGGTTTGTCGTGTTGGCTTGACCTGCCGTGAAGGGTCTAGCGTTCTGGTCGTGTTTGCCGTCCCGGTCTGCCGTGCTGGCCTGCCGTTTGTCGTGCTGGTCTGCCGTGGTGGTTTGGTCTGTGCAGCGTGAGAACAGCGCGCCACAGCAAACCAGGTCGGCATACCAGACAGGTGTGGCAGACCAGAATCCGCCGCCGCCGCCGTCGTCGTCGTCGTCGTCGTCGTCGTCGTCGTCGTCGTCGTCGTCGTCGTCGTCGTCGTCGTCGCCAGCGTCGCCTTCGTCGTCACTCTCGTCTCCGTCGTCTCCGTTGATGCCGGCGTCGTCGTTGTAGTCGTCGTTGCCGTCGTCGCGTTTCTGTTCCGTGTCTGTGCTCCCCTGTCGTCCCAACCGGCTGTCGCGGCCGCTGCCTGCGCTCCGTCCTCGGCTTCGCATCAGGAGGGTTGCCAGGCGAGTGTGTGCAGTGCAGCGCCAAGGCGTGCCCTCCCTTCCCCCCAGGCGGGATGAAGAGGAGCAGCAGGAGGAGGTGATGATGATGGGTGGGAGGTGGAGGAGAAGGAGGCGATGACGATATGGAGGAGGAAGTGTGATTGCGACAACCCTGTGATTGAAGTAGGTCTGAAGTAAGAACGGAGGAGGAAGAGGAGGAGGAGAAAAGCGAGGAGGAGGAGGACCAGTGTACCCAAGACCAGTCAACGATGTAAGAATAAACCCTCCCGCCAGGCTCCCTCTTCATAGTCCCCTGCCAAGGATCCATTTCCACAGAGGTTTTGCCTCATTGGGAGACAGCCGTTTGAATTTTGAAACGTGCCAAAGCACGATTCTCGGGACTCCAGCGCCACGAGTCAATTTGACCCTTACGTTTGGACCATCCTGAATCGTACTGGACTGCCGTTCCTGGGACTTCACCACCGCGAATCAACATAAGTGTTGCGCCCTGACAATCCTGTTTTTTTCGAAAACGTCATGTCTTGTACGTTGTCCATGGGAATCTGTGGAATTCATACAGTTTTGTCAGATCGAATGTGCGCGGCGCTAAGGCGAGAGCTACGTTTCGAAAAGGAGCCGTCCTCAATCCGTCAAACTCTTACACATGCTGTAAACGAATGTGCGCGGCGCTAGGGCGAGAGCCACATTTTGAAAATGATCTGCCTTCAATCCGTGAACCTCATGCAAATTTTGGAAACGAATGTGCGCAGCGCTAAGGCAATATCCACATTTTGAAAGCGACCCGCTTTCAATCTGTAAAGCTCTGGCGCTTTTTGACTACGACTGTGCATGGCGCTAATGCGATCGCCTCATGTTGCAAGCCACCCGCCTGCAACCCGTGGCGTTTTTGGCAACTATTTCAAACGAATGTGCGCGGCGCTACGGCGAGAGCCACATTTTGGAAGCGACCCGCCTTCTATCTGTGGAGCTGTTGCCAATATTTGAGCTTCAGGATCATAAATGGTAAGGAAGGCTCAGGCGAAACGCTCAGCCCGCCCTTCGACTGTCTCCGGGGTGCGACAGGGAAATTTAATGTAGAAGGAAGAGGAATGGAGGGGGAGGAGGAGGAGGAGGAGGAGGAGGAGGAGGAGGATGAGGAATAGCAGGAGGAGGTGGAGAAGGAGGAGGAAGAGGAGGGGGAGGACCAGGAGGAGGAGGAGGAGGAGGAGGAGGAGGAAGAGGAGGAGGAGGAGGAGGAGGAGGAGGAGGAGGAGGAGGAGGAGGAGGACCAGTGTACACTCAAGATCGCCCGAACGCGGAGCTGGCAGGGCTTCCCACTTTACAGACGCTGGCCGAGACGGCGAAGCCGAACCCCCAGAAAGCTTTGACAGCAAGAATCGGCCAGAAAAACTGCGATTCCTTGCTGCGGGCCCTGGGGCCAGAGGCGAAGGCGCTCTTTCGCTCCCAAGACGCGCGCCGGCGCCTGGCAGCTTTCCTCGCCGGGCCAGGGGGCTCAGCGGCTCGATGGCGCCGACTGCTGCAGCAGGGCTCGGACGCTGCTGAGCTGGGCCGCGGCCCCGCCCAGGGGGCCTGCTCGCGGGCCCGGGCGCGCGCGGGGCAGCGTTGCGGCGAGCCGCCGGGGGGCCAGGCCCAGCGCGCCTGGCGCTGCGCCCGCGGGGTCGGCGCCGAGGCGCGCATCGGCGACCTCGAGCGCTCACGGGGCCGCATCCGCGCGGAGTGCGGCTTCCGCGTGGAGCGCCAAGTGCGCGTCCCCTGGCGGGGCTGCGCGGGCTGCGACGCGGGCGGACTGGCACAGGACAGGCCGACGAGCCCCCGCGGCGGTTGCGGGGCAGTGCTGCTCATTGAGGGGGGGGGCGGCTATCTTCGATCTCGAAGTGCAGCGGGCAGACCGCTCCCGCCTGCGCTTCGATGTCTCCGTGCGCCGACGCAAGCCTGCTGGCGCCGGTGCTCTGGCAGCCGCGGCTGGGCGCGATGGCGCTGTCAACGCCGAAGCAGAGCCCGACAAGAATCGGCGCTACCCTGCTGGCTGCGCCGCGCGGGGCATGATGCCGCTGGCGCTCGGGACGTGCGGCCGGCACGGGCATGCAGCCCTGCGGCTTCTCCGCAGGCTCGCGCGGGGCGCGGCGGCCCTGCTCGGCGAGGCGGCCGCGCTGGCCGCCGCTGGCGCTTTGGTCACCCGCTGGGGCCGGGAGCTGAGAGCGTTACCCTGCAATGTGACGGCTCGGCAGCTCCAGGCCGCCCTGGGCGCGGACCGCGCAGGCGCGGGCAGGGCGGCCGATCTGCGGGCCGCCGCGGTGGCATAGCTGGGCGCAGCCTGTTGCCGGGGGCGCCACGGGTGTTCTCGCGGGCCTACGCCGTCGTCGCTTGCTCGGGGGATTCCGTGGGTGTGGGCGTGTATTGTACGTGGGTGTGTTGTCATCTCGATATTCTGGTGTTTGCAGGAGGTTTCAGACGATGTGGAGGTGGATGTCCAGGAGCTTGGGGGAAGGGGAGGAAGCGGAGGAGGCTGGTCGAACGTATGCAGTGCTCAACCTGGTTCCAGCCACGCCACGCCAGTCAGGTCGTTGCGTTCCCTTCCTCTTCTGTCGTAGTCTCCCCCTGCACCTCCCAGGGTCGGCATGGACTGCATTGCATGCGTCTTGTCGGCGTGGGCTTGCGTGGGCTTCCCGGCATGCGGTGCCGATTCTCTTCCTGCCTGCCTCCCACCTTCTCTCTTCTCTCCCCCTCCTCCGCCCTCCAGTCTCGCATCTCCTCCCTCCTATCCCCCATCTCCTCGCGGCCTCCCTGCGCCACCCCCTCCCTCCCGCCTTCCCCGATCATCCGCTCTTCATCACTCCTCGAGGAAGAGGGCATCGCGTCGTACATCTACTGGGACGCATGGGCACACAGGCAACTCCCAGTCGATGACATCAAGAAGGAAATGGAACAACTCCAGCTGGATCCGAAGGACTGTCAAGGGGAATGTGGTCGATTCTGATGATGATGAGGAGGAGGAAGAAGAGGAGGAGGAGGATGAAGAGGAGGAGGATGAGGAAGAGGATGAGATGGAGGAGGAGGAGGAGGAGGAGGAGGAGGAGGAGGAAGCGGAGGAGGAGGAGGAGGAGGAGGAGGAGGAGGAGGGGAGGGGTAGGAGGATGAGGAAGAGGAGGAATGGTGATGGAGTTGTGGGAAGCATGGGCCACCGGGAACAAAGCTGCACTTGCTGCTGCCGGAGTTTCCAAGTTATCCCAAATTCCTTCGAGCGCAGCTCTTCCCTTTTTTTTCTTCGCAGCCACTCTGCGCGGGCGTCGTCGGCTTGAAAATCAAGTTTATCGGGGACGCCTACGGCGAATACCTCGTAATTAGAGCTGCTAAGGGAATCGGAGCTAGGGGAATTCCGGTGCAGGGTGGATCAAGTTGGCCGACCCGGCCAGAAGAGACAATGTGACAATTTGGGGTCGAATTTTGAATCATTGTGAGAAATTTGCAATTTTTGTTTTGAGAATTGATATTTTTCGCCTGTCTTAGGCGTTCGCCTGTCTTAGTTTCAGATCCGTAGCTGCAGTACTACTATCAAAACACTTGGGGGAACCAACGCCGTGTTGATACCGTTTTTGGGACACCGTTGGTTGATTGACTTGATCTCGATATTCACAGCAGCTACAGAACTCTTAGTCACAGCAACCGATTCTGCAACATCGGAAGCATTGGTCTGGAGCCTCGAGAGGCCTCAGATCGTCTTTATACCCGAGCTGTAATCAAAATGCTGTAACATATTCTTTCGTGTGCGGTCGGTTTACGGACTTGATCTCGAGATTTTGAGCAGCTGCAGAGCTCTGAAACATTGGTCTAGAGCCTCGAGAGGCCTGACATCGGTCTTACTGGAGCTTTGATCGAAACACTATTCGCAGTCTGTAAATATTTTTCTGCCTGCGGTGGGTATACAGACGTGATTTTGATATTTAGATCAGCTGCGTGGCTCTTAGTTACACCAGTCGATTCTGCAGCTCATGAGGCGTTCGCCTGTCTTATTTTTAGTTCAATGGCTGCAGTGCTTCCATCTAAGCACTTGGCGGAATCCGCGTCGTGTCTGTACGTTTTTGGCGCGTCGTCGGTTGATCAACTTGGTCTAGGGGTTTAGAGAAGCTACAGACAGAGCTCTCAGTCACAGTAATTGATTCGATAGCCTGAAGAACATTCGTTTCAAGCCTCGATAGTCACGCCTCGATAGGCCTCAGGTCGATTTCCTATTCGAGCTGTTTACCTACTCGCACTCTGTAGGAGTTTGACTGGGAGCTCTGCGAGGTTCCCCGCGATGACCAGGTTGACGGTTCACCGCTGGCGCCCAGTCACCGCCGCCCCCTGCCTTTCTGGAAACGCCTGTGTGGCCGAAGGTCGACTTAGAGCTTGGTTAAGCTATCGGACCACGTGTTCCCCGAGCTAATTTGGAAAGCCTTCGAGGAACACGCAGAGGAGGAAGAGGAGGATGAGGAGAAGGAGGAACAAGGAAGAGGAGAAGGAGCAGGATGAAGAGGCGGAGGAGGAATAGGAAGAAACCTTTTGGGAGCCTTTGGGGTCATTCTTGACGCCGCCTGGAAGCTTCCTGGAGGTGTTCTGGAACCTATTCGGGGCCTCCTTGGGGCTGTTAGGGGGCCTTTGGGGGTTTCTAGACATCGTTTGCCGTCTTGAGGCGTTTCTGGCCCTTCCGACGTCGTCGGAAGCCGTCTTGGGGGCCTCTCTGGAGTTTCTTGGGGCTCTATTGGGGCGTTTCTGGGCCGTCTTGGAGGCCATCTTGGGCGTCCTGGAGGCCTCTTGGGCCGTCTTGGGGTCCTCTCAGGGCCGTCCTGGGGGCCTCTTGGGCCGTCATGGGGCAATCTTGATCTTGGTGCTGCTTGGGGGCCTCTTGCGCCGTCTTGAGCCGTCGGAAGGCAGAAAAGACGCAAATGCCCAAAGCCTTGAACAACCAGGAGGAACATCAATGATTTGGGCTCATTCGGGCCCTCATGGGAAACTCTTTTGAGGCCTCTTGGGCCGCTTTGGAGGCCTCTTGGGGGCCTCTTGGGCCGTCTTGGGCCGTCGTGGAGGCTTCTTGGGTGGACCTTTGGGCCCGCTGGGGCCGTCTTGGAGGCCATCTTGCGCCCTCTTGGGCCGTCTTGGAGGTCGTCTCAGACCTTCTTGGGCGAACTTGGAGGCCCTCTTGGGACTGTCTTGCGGGCCTCTTGGGCTGTCGTGAGGTCATCGCGGAGGCCTTGGGGGCCTCTTGGGCAGTCTTGGGCCGTCGGAAGGCCGACTAGAAGCAAATGCCAAACTCGAATCTAAGGACACCTGATGATTTTGGCCTCGTCGGGCCCTCCTGGGAACCTTTTCGATGGATGCCTCTTGGGCCGTCTCAGAGGCTTCTTAGGGGCTTCTTGGGCCGTCCTGGGCCGTCTTGGGGGCTACTTGGGCGGACTTGGAGGTATTTTGGGCCCGCTTGGGCCGTCTTGGAGGCCATCTTGCACCCTCTTGGGCCGTCTTGGATGTCATCTCAGACCTTCTTGGGCGAACTTGGAAGCCCCTTGCGGCCGTCTTGGAGGCTTCTTGGGCCGTCATCAGGTCATCTTGGAGGCTTTTGGGGCGATCTCGGGGGCCTCTTGGGCCGTCTTGGGCTGTCCGAAGGCCAAAAACAAGCAGCTGCCAACATCCTTCAAAACCAAAGGAAAACCAATGATTATGTATTCTTCGGGCCCTCCTGGAGGACGTCTTGGGGGCGTCTTGGGAGCCTCTTGGGCCGTCTTGGGCCGTCTTGGAGGCTTCTTTGGCGGACTCGGAGGCATCTCGGAGCCATCTTGGGCCGCCTGGGTGTTTTCTTCGGCGGACTTGGAGGTAACTTGGACCATCTTGGCCCATCCTGGAGGCCACCTTGGGCCATCTTGCCCTCTCGGAGGCCATCTTGAGTCGTCTTGGAGAATTTTGTTGGGCACGTTGAGGTGCTTTTGCGGTCACTTCTGCGTGGCTCGCGCAATGAGCCGAAGCTCCAGGGGAAATTCTTCTGAAAAAAACCCAAACCAAACCATATGGGATTCAGCACGCCAGGCATCCCTGTGACAAGCACAGGGGGCGGCGGATCGAATGGCCTTCGGCCGGGGGCTTTTCGGGGGCCTCGGGAGACAATTTTGATGCGTTTTGGGGCCGTTTTGGGGGCCTCCTGGGGCGTCTCGGGGGCCCCTTGGGGCCCTCTCGGGCCCTCTCGGGACTTCTTCGGTGCCTCATGGGGCCTCCTGGGGGCACCTTGGGACGGAAGGCTCGAATTGTCAGCTTGGGCTCCCACTCTCAGGCCTCTCTTGGGTTTGTTTTTTGTCCTGGGCGTCTTGCTTGGGCCGTCTTCAATGCTGTGGAAGCCGAGAAGTCCTATATGCTAAATGTGCACCTTGGGAACATGATATTCAATTTGCCTCTTTGGGGTGCTTTTGGGGGTGCTCTTGGAGGTCTCCTGGGGCGTTTCAAGCGCTTGCGCGGCTGACTGGAGGCCATCTTGGGAGTCTTGGACGGATCGTTTGGCGAGTCTGGTCCGTGTTGGACCGCCTGGGCGGCCCCTTGGGGCCCCTCTGGCCATTTTTGGAACCCACTTGGCCCCGAAAGAGTTTTGCAGGCAGCCGCGACGGGGCCCAGGCCGCGCGCGGCGCGCCCCAAGGAGGCACGCGGGAAGCCCCAAGAGATCTGGGACTTTGGGGTCCGTGCCCTTTGGAGGATCCTCAGGGCTGAGGGCTGAGGCTCAGGGGACTGAGCGGGGGACCGGAGAGCACACCAGCTCGTACCGCAGGGCGCGGGGGGGCATTTGGGAAGCCATGGAGAAGCCAAGCGGCATCCAAACATATCAGAAGAAACCTCACCTCGTACGGGTTTCCGTAACATGGACAAGCCAACATTTCATGCTCAGTCCACGGGGTTGGCCGGCCACCAACCAATCTGAATCAGTTGCGACATTCCCAAAACAGTGCTTGCACCTTGGGGTTCTGTCTTCTTACTGCGGAACTGGACCAGTGTGTCGGTCCGGCGGCTATGTAGCTGCCGTTGGAGCCCCGTCGCCACATCGTCGTCGCCCGTCGTCTGGGCCCGTGTGACGGTCTGGCGGCTATGTGGCCGCCGTGGGAGCCCTGTCGCCGCGTCGTCGTCGCCCGTCATCTGGGCTGGTGTATCGCTCTGGCGGCAATTTAGCCGTCGTCGCCGCCCCGTCGCCGCCTCGCCGTCGCTCGTCGTCTGGGCTGGTGTGCCTCTCTGGCAGCTATGTTGCTGCCGTCTCCGCCCCGTTGCCGCCACAGGTTGCTCCGCATGTATTGCGACGCATCGATTGCGCAATTTGGAGTGTACTACCTAGGTTCTCCGGTCTAAAAGAGTATTCGGATCTACCCCACCCCCCTGGACTTTTCGGGTTCTCCTGGGGATGTGCAGTTTTAATATGATTCTGTCCCATCGTCCATCCTGAATATGAGTTCATACTATCCCAGGCAGGCCAGTATCCCCCCCTCATCCTCTGCGAGAGTACTATATGCGCGCGCACTCGTTTATCACAAATCATACGTTTTCAACAATCCCTTGCAAAATACAGGACGAAGTGCAAACGCGCGCGTCGTCGCGCGCGCATGCCGAAATCCTTTTAAAACCCTAGGTTTCGCAAGGATTCCCCAATCGAGTGTCACGATGGCAACAAAAACACGTGGTTCCGCAACGAGGATTTTCAGAAAAGGCCTGCGCTCGCGCTCTTGCAGATTCTCAAGACAATCATAGGCTTTTCTATATTAAATCGCTTCGCTCATTCCGCCGGCCCGTATTGTCGCAGCGCTGTCGGCTGGCCGAGTGCTCGTTTGCAGTGTGGACCTGCGGGGGCGGGGTCTTTTTTTCTGAGTCGTTTCGTTCGGAATGGTGAATGTTTGGGCTGAAGCAGCTCTCGTGGAGCTGTCTGGGGGCGATTCGTCTGGACTTTCCGGG